TCAACAGAGACGTAAAATATTCATATTTTCGTTCATAAAAATGGAATGTTCAGTTGATATAACCAAATTGATATTAATTGAAGGACATAGATATTGGCTGTTTGGGAACTGGTAACAGATTAAAGCAAATCCCAATAAAGGAATGTCCTTTGTGAGTGCCAGTGACAAATAAATCCTAGTGACGATCTGACGTACAAAGCATTGGTATAAAGATTTATTGTCCCTGTCGATGCTAAGGGTTGGCTATAATCGCGTGGAATTTAATAAAGAAGGAGGTGGATGTAGGTATATGTTAATTATTCTAGATTGTGCTAAATATTTATATATTTAAAACATAAAGTATCATCAAATTACTTGTGAGTTATGTGTGCAAATATTCTGTTGTGTTCTCAGAAGCAGCTGTACATTCATCAAATTCTTTCAATGGATGGTTTTTTATTTTTATTAGTAATTAAACAATTAACCTATTTGTGAATAAAAGCCTTTTGAGCGTCCCCTCTCAGACAGAAATTTTATACGTATTCAAAGCAAAGCGGTAATTTGGGATGTTTATATAGAGGAGGGGTTTTGATTATCGAAATTCAATCAATCTCAACTTAAAACGAGTATGTTGGTAGCCATTTTATTGGTTGTCATGTTATATTCTTTAGCCAATAGATTTTAATTCCGAACCTTTAACATATTTTTTATGAATAATCCTAAATTTAAAAAAAAGAAACATTTGAATCAGAAAAAGTAATGTTGGACTTTTCATACAGTTTATGAAAGAGAAAAAATAATGAATTATTCTTGCAGCGTTACTAAAAGAATAAATTTCACAATTAATGATCGCTTTTTATTAACAGTTTTGTATGAAATATTCTGGCATATAAACTACATTAGTCTACAGCTTCGGCAAAATCCGTTTAGCAGTTTTTCGTTGCAGTGTAAAAATACTAACACAATTTTTCCCATATACGTTATCATATGTGGGAAAGTCCAACTAATGTTGTGATCCCGGTCAAAATATATAGTGTTTAAAATTTCTATATTTATTATTTGTTCGTACGGTTTAATTTTGCGGTGCTATTTAATTTCGCGTGATACACGAACGGTAAGTACGTCACACAAAAATAACTGTTTTAAATTGTATTTTTGCATAATATAACAGTTTCATTTCATTGTTTTTCTTTCGCACTTGGTAATTTATTTTTTGATAATAAAATGTATAAAATTACTAACCAACTTATTTTATAACCATTAGGATATAAAAGAAATAATATCAAAAAAATGTTTGTTGGGAAAGTTATTTATCAACTTTGAATAATTTGTTCCAGTTTTATATAATAACGACTTTATCAGAATGATAAGCAAATACCACTACACAAAGACGGCTGATCATACCAATCTTCTTTTGATGTTCGAACCAACTCCTTTTAACTGTCCGTCACAAACACTTGGCTTCCACTCTATTTGATAAATGAATATTTAACTCTTATCCTTAGTAAAGTACTCAGAAATTGCGAGCTTCGGTTAAATAATATTTGAGGATAGAGAAACCAATATACTGTAAAATTGTCTACAAAATACATCGTAAACGAGATATAACTTGTAGTGTTGTCTTAGCTTTACGTCAAATTAGAAACATATTTATATAAATATGTCCATTCGATAGTCTTGGTGTGTTTGTTAATAACACACGTAAAGACTTTCGCGTCGGCAATATTTATAGAATTTACTGAGGATATGAAATTTCAACGCTGTATTCCACTACTATAAGATATGTGATGGGTATCACGTGGAGCTATAATACTTGCCAGATGTCTATTTGGTAGTCTATATAAAGTTACCATTGAAAATAAATTTAATTAATTAATTTACAAACCTTATTCTGCAATACCACCTGTTCTCACAGCTTCCTCTGGATCCAAATATAATAACAAATTTGAACTTTGTCAAACTAATAAGTATCATTCTGATAGATTTTCTGTAACGACAGTTTTGTGAAAACAATATAGTAGTGAGTTTGGAATAAGGATTTCTTATATAAATATAATCTTTAAGTAATTTATATTAATATCTTAACGAGTTAGTATAAAATTAACTGCAACATTAAGTTCAAGTACTCTTATCATGTATTTTTAAAATACTTAACTAAATTATTTAATATTTAATATATAGATTCTATTGTAGATCAAAAATAATGTATTGTAGATTAATTTCGTTCATGCTTAGATCACATCTTTTTTTATATTAATTGCAATGTTTTTAAGATTGTTTCCTAACTTTCATTAATAAAAACCAAAAATCTTTGTGAAGATGCAAATCCATCATTTAAATACACGAACAATGAAAGGCAATTAGGTACCTATATAAATTAATGAGGCATTGATTGACGCGACTGTTAACAGTCCTTGAACCCCGGAACCCTAACTTTATAGCTTCTAATTAAATCAATATGAAGACAGAAGAGTTAAATTAAGCCCTCTGTACTAAGTCCAATATACTTTAAAAAAAGGAAGGTTAAAATATAAAGACCTGAGAATTTTTATAGTTTATTTAATAAAATCTCTTTTGACTTGAACACGATCACTAAATTACAGACAGAAATTGTGTAACATTGAGTATTTACTTCGTATCAGTCGAGTAGCTTACAGCAATTATCAAATTATATTCTCGCTGGCTAACTAATTATGTTACATCCAATTATTTAAAGGGATATGACAATTCGCAAATTAAATTTTTATTTTAACAAATAAATAGAATATACATAAGTAAGATTCTGTTAAACATATTGAGATGTTTAGTAAAATATTATTTCATATAATTACTCTTGAAAACTAATGAATAATTTCATGATTAAAGCTATTTATCAACCGAATAGGTTAATGAGATTTAAAAACAAATATGTCAGAGCGAATGTGAGACCCCAGTTATATTTAATACCCATTTGACACTGCTATAAGCACATCAAAAGCTTTAAATAAATTAATAGACTTATAATGGACATACATACATATATTATGACATTAATTTAAATTATTCCTCTTTTTTTTTTTGTTACAGAAGCAATAAAAGAATATGAGATATAAGTTCCACTTCGTTTTTTCACTCTATAAATTATAGTTGTAATTATATTCAAACAATATGCCGTTTAAAATTTATATCAAAGGCCGGCAGTTTTGGGCAGATTATTCTCAATACACAATTGTTAAATAAATCGCATATAAATATAATCTAAAACAATTGCGTTATTAACTATTTACAGGTTTATACGATAAAATGAGTGCACCATGTTTATCTTATTTACAACATTTACAGTTATAATAACTAACAATAACACATATTTTAAAAGTAACGCCAATTAGTGAAAAAAAAAAATACAATCATGGAAGTTATGATCGAAATAATTATTGTGAATTCTGGTGAACAATTAAAAATTCATATGCTTTATTTATTACCTTGAAAAATCACTATACCTGACCGTAACTTAATTTACAATTTAAGCTTCCAACAATATAAAATCATACAGCAAAAGTAAATATTATACTGCGATTTTAATGTTTTGGGGTCAGCCTTTTTAATTCCTAATTTCTACAAAATCTTTATAAATAACAACAACATATCCATTATGTTTCTATGAAACTGTTGTCTTAATATAAAATATCAATTAGGCTCTTCTATCTCGTCGGCGTATACTCATCTCCAACTTTCTAAATTATAAACATATCTATTATATTTACACTATTTTTACAACTGAATTCGTCCCAATAAGTTTGTCTTATAGACGTATTGAAAGACGTAGAGCCAAAGCGGCATCCCAAGATACAAAGTTAAATGGAATGTTACTAACGAGAAAAAACAATCGATTAAACAGTGAACATCCCACACGAAAAATGTTCCAATAACAGTAAAAATTAAAAAATCCCAATGCAAGTCACTTACTACTAAAAAGTTAGAGAATAGTCATATAACTACTAAGTGCAAGCAATTTTTTGCTTTCTTACTAATAGAAAATACGTAATGATGTGACACTTTTGTCTAGTGCAAATTTTATATGGAGTTCAACTATCTCCATCCTTTAGTATCGAGTAGATTTTCGAAGACGATGAAGACTGGAATTGATAGAGCGCTCCCTTCAGCTTTGTGCTAGGGAATCCAGCGGCACCACAAGTTTTCCGTTGGAGTAGCTGTAACAAAAAAATGTAAATTAATATAAGAAAAATCACTCTTAAACCAACAATTGTTGCGCCACTTTTGGTTAATTTGTTTTTTACTTAAAAGACGTATATATGTATATATAACCTGTAGGGTATAGTTGCTGTTCTTGATTTAGCTCTGCTTGGCCTACAAGCTTCATCTGTAACCAAATATGATTTAATTGAAATTTTATCAAAATTGTTTCAACATGAGTGGTATAACGATTTCAGTATTCAATAGATGAAATTCGAGTCCAATCGAAAGTTTTGCTGTACATAGTATCGGGAAAGCTTAATTAAGTAGTAGCGCATGCTATTGTCTCGGTTCTTGTGGAACAGTACTTATCTTAAGTCGGAGTTGGCAAAAGTAATATCTGCGATACCTTAATGAGAGAACTTTATATCGACTTTGTTCATCGTTTCTGACCCCACCACGCCATTCTAAATTACTGATTTAGAATTTTAGTTGCATTTCCATATTAAATATAAGGTTTATTTATTTATATCATGATTCATTAACTACCTTAAGTGATTTAATGATTAAAATATAGTAGAAAATAAAAGAAAAACAAAATAATTTACAATAAAAAGCGAAAAATTTCCTATAGAGCGATTGAAAAAGTCCATCAATGTGGAGAAGATTAAAATAGACGCGCTAAAACTGTTCGAGTGAAATAAATATGAAATACAAATGACTCTGTGTATGTTAAATTTGAAATAAGATTGAATTTCTATGTAAGGAATTTGAATCTTGAAAGTAATGTTTCTCAGAAAACGTACGCCTCAAATGTTTATTGTTTAGGTCCCTTACCATAAAGGCGGTTAACATCGTTGTGAGAGGCACGCATCGCATTTGACGGGCTCGGCACGCCGCTTGCCCTGTGAGCCCTGCGAGCCGGACTTACGCCGGAAAGTGTACCTAACGAGCAGACCTGCAATGAAATGCCGTACCGTTAACAAAAACCACTAAAAATATGATTAGCGCGTCCATTTGAAACGCGTCCATAGACGTTTGAAAGCCGAAAACTTAAAAACGTAAAAACTTGTACGGCGACTTAGATTTCCTTTATCGAAAAAGTATCTTGCCATAGTTTGAAAGTGTTTATATGGTTAAGTATTATTTAGTTTTAATGATAATGTTTACTGTGTAATAATGAGCTAAATAAAAAATATTGTGTGTACGTAACAAATAAAAATAAGAAAAATAAATCATATACGTACAAATTAACCAAAAGTATTAAAGAAAAATTAAAACATAAAAAAGGAAATGAAGAATTAAGAAAAGTTATTATAAAGTATAAGCTAATATACTCACCAGTTAAACCAGCTTTATTTATACTGTTCGAACTTGAAAACCCTGATATTTTCTTCCACGCTTTTTTATTCCAAAAACCACTGGTTTTTGCATCGCCACAGCTAGAACTACGTGGGGAATTAACATCTTTTGGGCATCGTAAGTTACAGTCTTCGGCTCCTAAAATACGAACACCAGCTCCACGAGTACCATACGCTACTGCCGGTAAATGTGGTACAGATCCTGTAGGTTTTCGACGTAAACTTCCTACGTAACTGGCCCCACTACTGCTCCCACTAAATCCACTGTCTAAATCAGGGGGATTGCAACTAGCAGGCGATAATAATTCATCTGTAGGCCCAACTCTCAACAATTCTTCTATATTATCTCTATCTTCTGCACGCTCAGAATCAGGCGATTCACATTCAGGCATAAGCATTGCTTCCACACTTAAATTTAATTCCCCTAATATTCTTTTATGCCTTGACTCAACTCTACGCACTTCTTCTTCAACAACGCTTCTATCTAGTGAAACAAGTGACTGTCGAGGCACATACCGATGCTTAGGACATGTTCTGGAACCGTCTGTTATTTCTTCGTAAATATTTTCTTCAGTGCCATACCTTGTTACAAAATTATGACGGGCAGATCTATCACGGGGTAAACCACCGCGTCCCCTTTGTCGATTAGCCTTTCTTGAGGAAGAAGGCATGGATAAATGATGGTCGTAATAGGCATAGGAATAATCGACCGGTTCAAAACGTTCCATAGTAGCAGCAATATTGCTTCTATTCCATGATTGTGATGGTTGTTCTCTTGACAAGTTTACTGCTGCAAGTCTTGCTGGCAAAATTTCATCAAGGTCTCGAGCACAGCGTTCATCAAGCGATTGGGCGCCATCACCATCTTCTCGTCTATGCCTGCGATGTGGTCGTCGTGTTGTTTGAGAACGGGAATGTCCGTGATCACAATCTGAATCGTGATCATTATTATAATCTGGGGTATGGCTGCGACTGAAATCAGATCTATGTTTACTGCAGTCGATTGTATGGTGGTAATTATGTCTTAAGCTGTAACTTGAATTGCCCTCAAAATCTGAACGGTCGTAACATGGACTGTCGTCTGCATTACTCGAATGAGGGTGGGGACAATCGGCAGCAATGCCGGACTCGGAGGAAGGATAGTCGTGAACTTCGGCCGTTGTAAGTACTCGATCGTCTGGTCTTCCAGGTTCTGAAACGGCATGTCGGTGATGAGGTCGCGGTCGGCCTGCTTCGCGACAACTTGCAAATGTTCTTTGCAGTACTGGTTGATGAGGGTATCGTCCACAGTGTGTATTGAACACCGCCTCCCCAGAGTCTTCGGGGCTCGGCGGCGCACTCCGAGATTCCATGGCTCATCGTCTTCTAACCATATAGTGCCTGAAAATAAATAAGTTTTTGAAAAATTTATCCAAGTAACCGATAAAAATATTTAATAAAAAGACATGTAAGGGTCACAAACGCCAGAGGGCAATGAATCCAAAATTACATACAACGTGATAAGGGTAGGGTAAGTGACGATCAACACAGCAACCAACTTCGATATATCATCATCAATCGCGGGATAATAAATTTGGGATTTATACCGTTTCCATTGTTGCTTTTACAACTGTTTGCTTGGCGGTAAACTTTTTATGTAAGATTTTAATGCTATTGATACCTTGTAGTTTAATAAATAAATTTAATTTGGAACTGTATGTAGTTAAAATCTATTAAGTAGGCCAACCAATTTGCGGTAAATATAGATAATGAACAAAATGTTAAGTTATAGAAAATAGAATTTTCGTATACTTAATACAAACTTCTTTCTATATATGTACCGTATGGATTTAATTATTAATATATTATTAATTTTATGGGGATTTTGAGGAATATTTCTCTATTTTGTGGAATTTGGTTCTTATTAAGTTTTCCTAATAAATACAAAAAACAAATCAGTTATCAACTCACGATTGAGATATGTAATAAATAAAATAAATCTATCAACAGGGAGTATTAATAAACAATATCTAGAACTAAAATAATTGATATTAAAAAGTAGGACTCAATTAAAATGAATTTATTAAAAAACCTCAATTACTTTTCTGCCACATAAAAAATGAAACACGAATTCAAAAGCGGCAAGCAATAAATCCTTTTTTTATCATAACGAAATTCCATATCTGAATTTTATTACGATTTCGCTAGAAGTTATTGCACGCATTCCAGACCAATTTATTATGATAACGATAATAAGTGTCCGTGAACTAGACGATGGCAAGGGGAGTCTACCCTCAAACCCGTCACCATGGCAACCGAGTAGTTCCCGCGGTATATCGCCTCACTTCCGTCCGATTCTCTTTGCATCTAAATCATCATCAATGAATAGTATCTCGTAAAGAGCACGTTGACCGACAACAATTTGTAATGCAATTGGGTTGAGATTGCGTATTAAGATGTCGTTTCAACACAATTCTTGATATTTATGTTGGGCAGGGGAACCATTTTGGTCGTGGCTTTACATCTCTGTTAGCTTTTCGCCTCCCCGTTTACGCCTAAACCAAAACAATTTATTACATGGTTTTTCCTGTAAAAGAGACCGTATTTTGAAAACTTTTGACTACTTTCACTAAAAGACCTTAATGTTTTATGTAATAAGTATTGAAATATTTCATAAACTCTTTAAAGAAAATAATTTTTCATTAAAAGTAATTTACAACAATACAAAAAGAATAACACAAAGCTTTTCTTGCAAATACCTTCTTAACTTCGCCCTAGGGTTGCATGCTTAAGATTCCCCTTTTAATAAAAATATGCAAAAGCAATTGTAGCAAATGCTTAACAAAATTTATCCAAAGCATTATTCGGATCGTGATATCAGCACATTTGCTCCCCCATTCTCCCCTTCGTGTTGGGTATGAGGGTAAAAAATCATGCAACATTACCTTCAGTGGCATAATTGCAATCAATTCCGTGTTATTTAACGTTTATTACGAAACTTTCTTTGACACATCGCCGTCTCGTGTGAGGTGCTGAATGTTTGAATTGCATGTTGATATTCTTATGTTAAGATTAAATGTGAAATCTTATTATATATATATGGTATTAAATATTACCATTGTTTAGTGTAAAATTTATTATACCTTTGATTTATAATATATACTTCATGCAGAAAAATGTTTAGTTGTAATGTAAATGAGGGAAACGTAAAAATGTATGTGTCAATGAATTAGCATACTACATTCATTACAATTTACGATTGTGAATATTGATAACAATTTTTCTCGAGTTTCAAACAAATAAATGCATAAGCTATATATGTATATAATTTTACATGTTAATTATTCAAAACGATTTGGGTGAGGAATAATTTATAAAGTAATTTGTAAATAATATTTTAATGTCATGGCAGTGGTGCCCACAATCGCTTGTTATTATAATAATATAATCCATCATATGGCGATAAGATAAGTTTTTATGTCTTTGCGACCCTTGTATTCATGTTTGTTGAAGTAATACGTATCTGCTTTTGCCACATGCGACCCATAATGATGGGGATATACAAAAAAAATGTTATACATATACTTAAAACAAATAATGGAAAATTTAATATTTGTCAAATTTGTTATTAACTTGTTAGAGAAAGAATATACTATTTTTTATTTAATATAGGACATATTTTGTTAATAAGTTGTTTATTTTTGTTAACAAATATTTTACATTAATCATAGTATCTTTGGTTACATCTATAGTAAAATGTGGAGTTAAATACAAATCAATTAAGAAAGTATTGATATTTATCAATAATAATTGGTTGAAACTGCTTTCATAAACTATTATTGACAGATGTTACAGGGAAACAGTTAAGCCAGTAGTAAAAAGTTATTTCAGGGGGTACACAGCAGAAACCCATTAAGCGGTCTTTGTGGAGATAGCCGTGTTTTATTGCAGACAGAATAGTTAATAAAACGTGCGAAAATATCTACACACAACCTCAAGTACAAACATCTGTGGGTTTATACAATATTTTATTTTAAGACCCAAGGAAAGATTATTGCATGAATTACGTGAAATAAAACGTATTTGAAATATAGACTACTTACAGAAATCTTTTAAATAAAGATAAAAGAAGTCCTTTTAAAAAATGTCATAGTCAGATCTCATTTTTTTTAGTAGGAGCATGGTTATGTATATGAACGAACATGAAAAATACTGACTTTAAAACTTTATTTATAAACCAACATTTATTTTGCTGCCCTAATATAAATTATTTGTTATTTTGGGCTAGGGTAAGTTGAAGGACATGGGAACGAGCACATGATGTGTTCACTATTATTAATTATCATAACTTCTTTTATAGGTAAGGTATACCCCAAATTTTTGTTTTTTTATCATAATTAAAAAAAATTATTAACGCCAGGGTCATAATATTGCGCAAGTTTGAATAAATCTTTCTTATATAATATAAGTAATGAAAAGTGAAACGTTTCTTTTTCCATAAAATGGTGACATAAAAAGCAAACGCTCAGAAATGGGTATTACAAAATCATTCATTCATTTTACGGCTTTAGTCTCGCGTCTAGATTGTACGTCGATCCAGGCTAAGCCTAGCTTAAATTGAATGCCTTGTTCGGAATTATATCATTTATAACACGTATATCTTTAATAAAAACCGAAGAAAATTTAGGATATAAAACTATTTATTTTGTTTTGTATCTTTTGATAAGTGTAATTTAAGATTAATATTAATTGAATCTAACTATTTATACTCATAAAAAATATAAATTTTAAAGATATTCAAATTATTTTATATTAATATCGACCTGTACTTAAACTCAAAGAAGTAAAGATTAAAAGTTATTTTTTTTTATAAAATTAGATCGTCATGACATGAATTAATAGGAGTAAAAATGTAAAGATATCTATTTAACCTTGTATCTATTTTCGACACATTAATAAATCGATAAAGACGCCTGTTGTTTTCTCGGATGCAACTTATAAAAAGCTACTAAAATTGAGATTGAGTGTTTCTAAGTGAAAATTTGCCAAGGAAACGGCCCGGCGAATTGGCTACCAGCCTATAAAATTGTAATGTCACATCATTTGCAATTCAAGAGCCTCAGCCTGTATTATACCTAATAAAATTTACATATTTAAATTAAACAGCGAAATAACAAGACAGTGAAGCCATCAAGAGCTAAGATTACGCGAAATACGCAATCCATTTTGTCATATTTGGTTTAAAATGTCTTTTCAATCTTAGTTCTATTTATGAAAACCTTTAAAGGTAAATGGTCATTTTATATCAAAACAGTCGACGTAATGAGTTCATTTACTGCTATTCGCTATATTTCTAGTTTTCTAATAAATGTATTTGATAATTTCTTCTCTACTAGAATATTAACATAATGGAAGCAGTTATCTAACACGTTTTGGAATTGAAATATTGAAATCAATCTGATTAATAGCATTTGGAGATGAATTAAGGCATGATATACATACACCAAGTTGAAAATGGACACCCATATTTCGAAAATGCATGAGATAAATCTATATTATGATACGCTCGTACGACTACAAACGGCAGATAAGCGACAACATATCGGTAGAGTTGACATTATACCAGTGACATCAATCAGTCAGTATGTTATCAAATTCGTGTACTAAATAAGATTCGAAATGGTATAACATTTATCACAAAATCTATAAATATCTGACGTTGTATAATATCATTAGCGTTTTCAATTTTATCAGACTTACTTTTGCAGATTGTTTATGCCAAACGCTAAATATTTATTCATAATAATTCATCATTATCAGTTCGACGTGGCTTAATTAATATTGGTTGATGATTTCCAGTTATAGGAACATAAATTATTCTAATGAAACATAAACAGTTGCTATTATTTTCAAATTTATCTGTTTTTTGTAGGTTAAGCGAACTACTATATCTGGAATATTATAAGTATAGAAATAATTTATATTTAAACCTTGACAAAATATATTTTGTGATTTCTAATTTTAAATGAAACAAAAAGAAAAAGAGATATAAAACCTGTTTTTGTAATACGCATTTTTTTTTATTAAATTGATAACACAGTAATAAAAGATTGTGAGGTATGTTATGATATTTATTCAATATAAATTTATGTCATACGAATCAAAAGTCATCAAAACGAATATTCACTTTATACTTTTTATGAATATACTATTTAAATAAATCTAATTTATTTTACAAAGCTTTTGATAGAATTTTTTTATACACTTTATTCAGACACAATTAAACTTATGATATATTTTCTTTGCATCGAATGTTTATATTTTAAAATATTGATAAGATAGAATTTTAGAGAATTCAATCAGGTAATAGGTG